CTAGTAATTCCAGCAATATTTCCAAGGCAAGAATCATGGATGTTTTCATTCTCAAACCAAGACATAGCATAATGCCAGAGTGATGCCGAGTTCTGACTAGGCAGGTCTGGACCACATGCCCACCTCCCAGATCCAGGTGGGTCGGCCCCACTGAACCACGTGCATCAAGGGGAGGAAAAGGTGGATTCCCAAGGTAAGCATGGATACTGTTAAAAGAAGCTGGCCAGACCAGGCAAGATACATGTAATCTGCAAGGGGAAAGAAAATTAAAAAAAAAAAACAAACGATTAAAGTCTAAGGAAAGATTGCTAAGCAAGAAATGTCAAGGAAGTTAGAAAAAGTTTCATAAAGAAGTTTTCGGAACATAAGGAACTAAGACAGACCAAGCGGTTAGTGTTTTCTTCTTTTTTTTTTTTATGAGTAAAAAGAGTTTCTTCATTATTTCATTCAGTTAGATGGGGAAGTTGTGATAGGCTGAATAATGACCCCCAAATATCTTCATGTGCTAATTGCTAGAATCTTTGAGTGTTGCAAAGGGACTTTGCAGATGTGATTAAGTTACATTATGAAATAGGAAGATTATCCTGGATTATCTAGATTAGCTCAGTGTAATCAGAAGCATCCTTTTAAGAGGGAATCAGGAGGAGTTGGAGGAGATGTGCTGATGGAATCCAGGACTGGATGGTATACTCTGAACACAGAAGAAGAAACCATGAGCCAAGGAATAAAGGAAGTCACTAGAAGCTTAAAAAGAAAGAATTCTCCTCTTGAGCTTCCAGAAGGAAACAGTCCTGCTGAAGCACTGACTTTAGCCCAGTGGGAATTATCTCAGATTTCTGATCCCCAGAATATAAGAGAGTAAATTTGGGGTTTTTGTTTTGTTTTGATTTTGCTTTTGCTTTTTGGTACCATGGATGGAACCCAGTGGTGCTTAACCAGTGAGCTACATCCCTAGCCCTTTTTTTTATATTTTATTTAGACTCAGAGTCTTTCACTGACTTGCTTTAGAACTTTGCAGGGGCTGGCTTTGAACTCACAATCCTCCTGCCTCAACCTCCCAAGCCGCTGGAATTACAGGTGTGCACCCCTACATCCTATAATTTGGGTTGTTTATAGTCTTTCATTAGAGTAGCAATAAGAAACTAATACAGAGGTTTCCAATAAGAAAAATAAGCTGAATATGAGACTGAGCAGCAGACCAGGCAGACCCAAGAGAGGCTGAACCTTTCACTTAAGGGGGAAACATGGGTTATGACACTGCAGGCCAGGATCTGTGATATGACAGATGGGACAAGGGGCAAAGGATATGAGATCCTGGAGGTCACTTAGCCCATGCCATAGAGTTGAGACTTCCTAGACCATGAGAAGCTTTGGAAAGTCTTTTGAAAATAAACACATGTAATCTGGTTAATGATTTGGTAAGGCCCTTCTGGCAGTGGGAAGGAGGATGAGTTAGGTAAAGATGAAGAAGGTAAAACATGAGTCAGAGAAACCACTCAGGAGATTTTTGTAGTTGTCCCAGCAAGAAATGATGGGAGAAGTGAGCTAGGTAAACAGTGAGAATGAATCAAGGGTCAGATTCAGGCACCACCACAGATGCAGAGGCAGGAAGACGCAGTGACTGCTTAGACGTGGGAGGATAAAGATGAGGACAAATGGTCTCTGGTGTCGGTGACTGGGGGAACAGTGGACAAAGAAAGATGACTCAGGAAGAGGGCTGAAAGGAAAAGCTGATTTGGTAGCTCCATTTGGGTCATGACGGTTTTGTCGTCTAGTAGGTTAGTGGTGATGTCTGTGTAGTAGAAACAGGTCCAGATCTCAGGGGGAGATGTCTGGTCTACCCTCACTGAAAATGACAGATTTTTTGTAGCCACTGGTGTACATACATCAGTGGTGCAAGCAAGCTGGGTGGACAAGCTCACCCAGAAGAGGAGACAGCAGAAGGCTGGGGCAGCAGCCTGGGATACTTTTGCTCAAGGGAAGGAAAAGAAGGAAACAGAAGCAAAGGAGGCTGAGAGCAAATGACCAAGGACAATGGGAAAGCCATGAGACCAAGGACCACACTAGCATTACTAGCCACTCAGCCCCCCATGTAAGGGTGGCTTACAGTGGACTTAGGAAAACATTTAGGATGAATCTAAATTGAAGAAGGCTGCAAGAAGAAGGGACTGTCTTGAGTAATGGTTTTAATTCTCTGGACCATCAAGAATTCCATAACTACACAGGCACATCCCTCCCCCTCCAGGCAGCCTGTGTCCTACAGGGAGGTTTGTTGGCAGAAGGAGTCTGAAACTCTCCATCCAAGCTATTCCTCTAGGATGGCTTAAACGAGATTGGTGTCTCCTGTCCTTTCATGGATCAGACAAATTATTTTCATTTCTCTTTTTTTTGTGTTTTTATTTCTTATTATACAAGTAATGTGTGATCATCATTAAAAAAAATAGAAATAACCGCAGAAGCATATTAACATAAATAGTAAAAGCCCTTCAATCCTACTGTTCAGAAGTAACCACTATTAAAAAATTTGCAGGTCTTTCAGATGACATTTTGTGTTATAAACATGGGGTAATGCATTCTGTTCAACAGCTAACGTTTTTATTATTATGACTGTTCCCATGCCAGTATACTACAGGGCTGCCTCATTGTTTTTAATGGTAGTTTTAATAGTACTCCATGGTTTGGATATGCCAGAATTTATTTAATCATTCTCCAATGTGCATTTGTAGTTATTTACAAATCTTCATTTTCGTAATTAATGTGATCCATGTCTTTGTGTGTGCATCTTTGCACACTTATGGGAGTTTTCAAGAAGACATTGGTAGAAATAGAATTGCAAGGTCATCGGGTATATAATGAGTGCTATTTAGTGTGAAGCATAAGGCTCTATCCATCATCACACGTGGCCAGATCCTATGCTCAGGAAGCTTGCTTCCTATTGAATTGTAAGTGCCATAGTACCATTATGTATATAAGTCCCAGAACTTCTCAAAATGGAAAAAGAAAAGATAAAAGAAAAAGAAAGAAGAATTACAGGGTCAAATGGTTCAATATTTAAATTTCTAATTAAGGCCATAAATTGTACTCCATGAAACCTTAATGGAAAATACTGAAAGGCTAAATAAATATTCACGTTTTCCTTTTTTAGGAAACATGTTTGGTGGATATCTGGCCTTTAACATATCTCCCTTCTCAGTTCTCAGGAATCATGATATCTTTCCACATTTGTTGATACCTAAAGTCAAAGCAGAGGGACGCAGAGATGGGTGATTAGCCCCATATGGGATATCCTAATGTGTGCCTGGGACCTCTGAGGAGTGGAGAAGTGAAATACCAACCTTCCAGAGCCCTACAATAAGTAAATTACAGATTGATCTAGAAATCTGCAATAGTGCTTTTAATTCTGTAAAGAGTAAAATTGACATATTTCAACATATGAAAATTTTAAACTACAGATACTGTAAATATGTTTTTAAAATCGAAAAGCTGAAAATGTTATCTATGAAATAATAAAGGATTGATACCTAGAATAAATGAAGAGTTCTTACATATTAATAAGAAAATGGGCAAATAGTTATAAAAAGAGCTGTGTGTAATTAGGTGATTTTCAAACGAAGAAATGCATATGACCAATATGTGAAGATTCTTGGTTTGTGGCAAAAGTAGATTTAGACTTCAATATTGGTGGGGCATGGGGCATGTTGTCAGAAGAGTTGTTCTTACACATTGCCATTTGGAAGTATGTATTAGTGCATCCTTTGGGTGGAAAGATGTGCTGTCTAGCACATTGCAAATGAGTAGACCCGTAATCCAGCAAAATTGTGTCTGTGAATTTGTCCGCTAAAGATATTGGTGCATGTGTACAAAGGTGAGATTAGCAGAATGCTTCCTGTAGCACATTTAGTTATTTTGATAGGTAAAACCTGTAAACGATCTACACATTCATCCAGGGGAGGGTGGTAAAATGAATTATCGTACATCTTTTTCTCATGAATATGATGTGGCACTTCAAAAAGATCTGTAAATAGACTGATGTAAAATATCTTCCACAAATGTGATTAATTTAAAAGAAATTTGTGTTTGATTAATTCATTTAGCCAATAGCTGTGTTTGTAAGCATTTATGAATACTTATTAAAAGATCAGGGGAAATAAACACCAAATTGCTAGCATTCATTACTCTGGAAAGGACAATTTGGATGTTGGGTTTGGGGGACATTCACGTTCTGTGTCTGACACCATCCCAAATTTTGTATTCAAAATGATAGTGGTGAAGCAGAGGCAGGTCTGGGAACACTTACGTCTGTGATTTTGCTAATCTTCCATCCTGTTCTTTGATTTTGCAATGAAAGTGACATGAAGGCAAGTGTCATGGCCAACACACAAGGGAGAAGCCACCTTGTGTCACGTCAGCCCCTGACATAATTTGAGGCACATCCACATGCTGTTCCCAGATACCACCTGTGCTCAGGTTCCACAAAGTCTCAACTGCCCCTAAGAGCTAGAAGGCTCTCTGGGTCACCTCTGTGGACCAGCTGCATGGAAATTAATTAGAGTCAGACTGTGTCCCCTGGGGCCGGGCTCCGGAGGATGCTGAAATCATTAGCAGTGATATTTAGCTACAGCTTCCTTTCCTGTTTTCTGAAAAATTGTTTCAGCCGAGAGGCCAGCAGACCAAGTTGTTGGCTAAGGACAGTAAAATTTTAATTTCCAGATACTTTGTGAGGGTCACTGAGGTGACAGTGACCTCAGAGAAGGGGGCATTTTTCATCAAACCAGAGATAGCAGTATGATCCTTCCCCTGACCCCTCAAAACTAAATTCCCTTTGCTATAAACACATATGTCATCCCTCCAACCCAGGGGGTAGTGACCATAGAAACAAATCATCCAAATATTTTGTTATTATTGTTTTGTTAAAATGCCCTTTGCACAATTTATGCTCCCTGACCATTGAATTGTAACTAGCTTTTTCTGTCTATTTCTCTTCTCAAAACTATACATAGGAGCAAAGAAAGAAGCACAAAAAGATCAAGATGCCAATAAACCTACTGTTTCATCTCCTAAGAGAACAGCAGCTTCTACCACCAAGCTTCATTCACCAGGTATTTAAGAGGTGTGATCTGTGTTATTTGGGGAGGAAACTTGGAGTCAGTTTGATTCAAATGCTACTGACAGAGCAATGCCAGCCTGTGTGTTAGTGGTGATTGTCCAGGGGTGGACGTACATAGGCTGATGTTGTCTGACTCCAGTTACAACGAGCCAGTCGCCGGCATCATCTTCACCTTCAAAAACAATATGTGATGATGTGTTTAAGTGGGAGATTTCTTTGTGTAGTTGCGTGTGCTATTCCAACAGCATGTAGAAATAATTTATAATTGGAAATCGACATCAAAGACCTCACCTTGAGAAATATTTTTTTTTTCCTAAAGCAGAGAAAAACAGAAACAATGGATATCAAATGATGGCTATCTTGTCAGTGAGGAAAACAGCTGTTTACATTCAGATCTGAATAGGTTGTGTAAGATCCCTTGAAATAAGTTGAAACTTAATTTTGAATGTTCATATTATGAGGCACTAACTCCTCTGTAGAACAGTCTGCAATATAATTTTAATGTATTTTTTTACCAGAAAATAGTGACTATGACAGTAGCTTATTTAATCTATTATTAAATGTCAGGTACTATCCTAAACTCTTTAAATGGATTAACTTATTTAATGTCCCAGTAACTCCATGAAACATGTACCATTATTGTCCCCCCCTTTACATGTGAGAAAACTGAGGTCCAGAGATTTTAACTAATTTCCCTAATTAATTTTTAACTAATTTTCCCTAATTAATTCCCTAAAGACACAGGAGTGCAGCCTTGGTGTGCTAATCAGCTTTTCATCACTGTGATAAATACCTGAGGAAAACACCTTAAAGGAAGAAAGACGTATTTCAGTTTGCTGTTTCAGAGGCTTCAGTCCATGGTTAGCTGGCTCCAAGGCAGCCACATGACAGAAGGGCAGGGCAGAAGAAAACGGCTCACCTATGACACCTTATGACAGCTGGGAAGCAGAGAGAGGTGGGGAATGGGGACAAGACCCAGTCCCCAAGGGCACACCCCGAAGGACTCACTCCCTTCAACGGGCTTTGCCTCCCACAGTTTCCCCACCTCCCAATAATCGCTTCAGCTTCAAATGCCTCAGTGGATTAATGCACTAAGGTCAGAGCCCTTAGGATTTAACCACCTCCCAAAAGCCCCACCTCTGAACATGGCTGTCCTGGAGATGGAGCTTCCAACACATGAGCCCTTGCAGAACATTCCAGATCCAAGCCATAACTTGGTCTCAGCCCAGGCAATCTGAATCCTAAACTTGCATCCTTAGTTAGTTACCATTTGCCAGAAAGCTGAAGAATACAGGATTTATTCCAGTTTGTGGTTGATTAAAAATGTACAAGAAATAAACAAAAGGCGCATTAGTGAGGGTCAAGAGACATAGCTTGGTGCCTAAATAGGGTGAGAAATCAGATCCACGACCCCGCACAGAATTTCTGAAGGGCAGCACCCTTGCTGGATGAACTAGGGAGAAAAAGAAAGCTCACCCTGCAGGAAACTGGCCTAATGCAGTTCTGGCTCTGACAGAAGGGTAAGGAGAGCAAAGCCCTCCCTGAGGACCCCCTAACCACAAGTGTTTTAGTCAGCTTTTTTGCTGCTGTGACTAAAAGGACCCAACCACAACAACTGTAGAGGAGGAAAAGTTTGAGGGCTCACTGTTTCAGAGGTCTCAATCCATGAAGGCCGGCTCCATCCCTCAGGGCTCATGGTGAGGCTGAACATCATTATGTGGCAGAGGGAAGCAACTCACATGATGATCAGAAGCAGAAAGAGAGACTCCACTCCCCAGATACAAAATATATACCCCAAAGCCACGTCCCCAATGCCCACCTCCTCCAACCACACCCTACCCACCTTCAGTTACCACTCAGTTAACTCCATCAGGGGAGTAATTCACTGATTGGGTTAAGGCTGCCACAACCCAATCATTTCTTCTCTGAACCTTCTTGCATTGTCTCACACATGAGTCTTGAGGGGCATCTCACATCCAAACCATAACAGCAAGTCTGTCCTGCTGCAATTTAAAAGCTGGAATCCCTGCTCCCACTGTGCTCCGAAGATTCCATTTAAAAAGCTGTAGTCCTGTGTCCACATAGCAAAATAAAATATGAAATGAATACACGCTCGAGGAAACAACCATCACGAGTAAGGTTTTTATATTCAACAGGAGAGAGTGAAGGTATTATGTCATCTTAGACTTTGTTAAGTTCAAATATTTATGTTAAAATTTCTAGGATGTGGCTCAAGCAGTAGCACACTCGCCTGGCATGCGTGCGGCCCAGGTTCGATCCTCAGCACCACATACAAACAAAGATGTGTCCACCGAAAACTAAAAAATAAATATTAAATTTCTCTCTCTCTCTCTCTTTAAAAACAATTTCTAGGATAAACAATAAAAGAGAGTACAATTCTGAACAAGTACAGGAGAAAAAGTTGAAATAAAAGGTAAAAATATTAATGTAACGTTGGGGAATTAATACAAATGGAGAAAAGAAGGAAGAGGAAAAAGAAGGAAGGGAGAGAGAGAGATAAGAAAAATTAAAAGAATCAAATAATACATCACAAAACAACCCAAATATGTCATAATGATTGTTCAGGAACTAAACTCTAGACCCATTAAAGACCAATGGAATAGAGGAAGAGATCAGGGGGAGGGAAAGGGGATTGGAATGGAGCAAACATGTCATATGTATATATGAATATATCAAAATGAACCCCACTGTTATGCATAGTTCTAATGCACTAATAAAAACACTAAAAAGAGAGAAGGAAAAAAGATTTAGATTCCCAGTCTGCATTCATTTATAGAACAACCAAAAAGTATTAAGTGGATATTATATACTGTAAAATCTATTTTCTTTTATGCATCTTGATTTCCAAAAATTTGGACTATTTCCAAAATACATACCTAAAATATATGAATATTAAAAAGTTGAAATTATAGAAATACTAAAAACATCGGTGGTGCTATAGTTTGGAAACATTTTTATTATAATTAACAAATACTAAACTGTCCATATGTAAAACATGCAATTTGATAAATTTTGACATGTGAAACCATTATATCAATCAAGATAACACACACATCCCCGATCCTCCAAATTTCATGGTGCCTACCGGAAATCCCTCCTGCTTAGCCTTCCACAGTTCCATCCCAATTCCCAATCACTGATCTGCTCTGTCACTATAATTTTTATTTTCTAAAATTTTGTATAAATGGAATCATATCATATGTATGTTATTTTAACAACTTTTTTCACTCACCATAACTGTTTTAAAATCCAACCATGTGATAACAGTCCATGCCTTTTTATTGGAATTTTATTGGAATAGAATTGTGTGGCTACCACAATTTACCTATCTTCCTGTTGATGGCCATTTGGGAATTTTTTCTTTCCTATTATAAGTAAAGCTACTATCACATTTGTACAAGTCTTGGTATGAATTCCTGATTTAATTTCTCTTGAGCAAATGGTAGCTTAGATGTTTAACTTCTTTAAAAGGTGCCAACTAGTTTTCCATAGTAGTTTACCTTTTCACATTCTCGACAGTGATCTATGAGAGTTGCAGTTCCTCCACATTCTTCCCAGAACTGCGTATGGTCAGTTGGCATTCTCATAGGTGTGTCATGGTATCTCATTGTGGTTTTAATTTGCATTTGCTGAATAACTGATAACTTTATTATGTTGTATGTAGCTTGTTTTGCCTTCTCCTAACATTATCTTTTGCAGAGTTGATGTTCTGAACTTTAATGAAGTTAAATTCTTTTTTTTCTTTTATGCACCTTGATTTTGCTTTATCTGAAAAATATTTGCATAATTCTAAGTCACAAAGGTTTTCTCCTTCATTTTCTTCTAAAAGATCTAAAGATATAAGTTTCACATTTAAGTCTATGATCCATTTGAATTGACTTTTGTATGTAGGTGAGGTGTGTTTTGAATTTTTTTTCTTGCATGAGGATATGCAACTAAGTGACTTCTGTTTTTATCTTTAGGATTTCTTTTTTCTCTGCTTAGACTGGTTTTAACTGCTGATGTACTTAGTTTTCTAATATGTGTGTTTAGTATAATAAATTTCCCTCTATGGACTGTAATTGACACAATCTACAGCTTTGATATACTGGGTTTCAATCTTTCTTGAGTTCAAGATATTTTCAAATTTACCTTTTTTATTTCTCCTTTTATATATGATTATTTAGAAGTGTGACTTTTTGTTGTTGTTTGCCAGTGTTTGGAGACTTTCAATAAATCTTTCTCTTATTTATTTCAATTTATAATTCCATGTGGCTGGAAGATAAAAGAAAGCCTTGTCCCTCTACTCACTTTTGATACCAGATGTGTGGAGTTTTCACACCAAGAAATTCTCCCGATTCTCTGTGAATACCAGCTGGATTTCTTACAATTTATTTCAGTTCTGACACTAACTACCCATAGTTTAGCACAAACCCCACAGGTGAAGGACTCAATGTCACAAGACTTCCCCCTACCTCAAACGCCACAGCTAGTTGGCGCTGTACTTCTGTCCAATCTGGCTACAAATTAGAGCAACCCATAGCCCTACCTTGGATTCTATAATCTGCTATAACAGCTCATAGAACGCAGGGTAACACTTTACTTACATTTACCAGTTTACTGTAAAGGACATGCCAAAGAATACAAGAAAATATCCAGATGAAGATGTACATAGGAAAAGTCCAGAAAGTTCCCAAGCATAGGAGCTTCTGGCCCCACGGAGTTGGGGTGTGCCACATGGGTGTGTTTGCCCAACCCAGAAGCTCTCCAAACCTTGCAGTTTAGAGATTTTTATATAAGCTTTATCATAAGCTTATATAAAAGGGGCTGGATCTGAATATTCACACTTCGAATCACGACTAGGTCTTTCTAGTGACCAGCCCTATCCTGAAGCTATTCACAATCCAATCCACTGAGTCTCCTCATTAAAATGAGAAATGCTCCCAGAACATTGCAAGGGATTTAAGAGCTCTGTGTCAGGAATTGGGGGTC